AAATGTACCAATAAAATTAATTTTAAAAATTAAAAAATCTTAAAAAAGAAATGCATTGTTCTTGTTTCCCCTTATTTGCTTGGATTTAAAGGGTTTTAAGGCTATGGGATAATGGATGCATTTCATTTAAAAATGACACTGTATGAAGAAATCTGAATCATGTTTAAATCAAATTTTATCAAGTGTGATTTCCAAATATGTGTAAGGTATATATAGTGGTGTTATGAATTCTTTGCTGAATGATTTGTATATTTTCATGGGTCTCTAAGTTCCCTGAAGTCAAGGAAAGTTAATTGTCCCTGCACACTGCTCCTTTCACAAGGTCTGGAAAATAAAAACTATAACCTCTCTCACCTAACTGTGTGCTCCCTTTCTCACTCTTTTGGAATCAGAAGAGGAGGAGAAAACTGTGGCAAAGGGTCTGCATTTCCAAAAAATGAAGTACTGGTGCAGTTCATCTTTATGGAAAATGTTACATGTAAACATATAATTTATTAAGGGAAAGGAAATATTATGAGAAAAGGAAAAAATGGAAACAAAGTCTTTGTAAATAGGGAAAGGTGGAGGGGGTGAAAGGAAAGCAGGGAATGGACCAAAAATAAGAAGCAAAATACATCATGTAAAGGTGCAAGCTCCCAATGATGAGTGTGAATGTATACCTAAAATGTACCAATAAAAGAATTTAAGGAAAGAAAAAAAACATAACTTATTTAGCAAAAAGAATGTTACAGAACATCATCAGGATTTTTTTTTTAAAGTGCCATAGGAAATATTCAGGACAGAAAACAAATTTTGCTTACTCACTTTCCTACAAATTTTTGGTTTACTAATGCAAGAGAAATTATATTAAAAATATATGGCTGATCCCACCATTTCATCACCCAACCTCTCCCACACTGTGCAGACACATCTCATTTAATGACCAAGTTTCCTTCCTGTGACTGAGTAGTTAACTTAATTGATCGCTAAGTGATGAATTGTATATAGTATGTACATTATATTATTAAGAACACATAAATGGCCAAAAGAAACTCCAACTTGATGACTTTGTTTTTATTTGCATAACTTTTACATGCAGGACATAAAACTACAGTACTGCACTGTACAACACAGTCTGCAAAAATTGCAGTACTGTATAAACATGGTGTGCTGTAAAAAAGATATTGAGGTTCTATCAACAATACTTACAGAACTGTACAAAAAAAGATGAGTTGTAAGTCTGAGAGATGAATCATAAATCCAAACAGTGGGCCTCAGTCTTAAATCAGAACTGTGGTTAAACAGATAGCTCGTTAATCCAAGAATCTCTGTATTATACCAAGATTGGTGATGATGTTTTCCCCATTACACAGGCACTGCCTTCTAGTGGCAAGTTTTCACGAGCAAGTTACCAGCATTTGGTCCAGCTCTGACTGGTTACACTTAGGATTTGAGGAACCATCATTTCATCAAGTAAACAAATGCATGGATCCACAAATGCAATGCCACCACTCAATCCATGTATTCTTTTAATCAAATGTTAAGAAAATGAAAGATTATTAAAAAGAAACTCTTATGTCTTACCCACTTTGCAGTCAATCTCTTATTTCATCTTTAGCCAATGATGGCACACACATAATCATGCAGAAATGAAAAGTAAAGAATTGCAAAGTTCTAGAGCAATGAGGAAAAGTAATCCTCACCTGCAGACTATGATGCTTTGGGTCACTGTGCAACTGCCTCCTGCCCATCTTCCTTCAAAATTTCTTGGATGCAGCCTACCAGCTCACCCAGTTGCACAGCAGCAGAAGCTAAACTTATGACTACCTGTTTAAAAGGTTATAAATATATATCATTTACTAAGTTCAGCCTAAATTTAGAAGTCGAAACTAAAGATCAGTAATACATGGTATTTCCTTTGGATTACAAATTGTAGGACATTACAGGATTTACTCAAAAGCTTATAGGAATGTGAAAAAAGAGCTCCTCAAACTTTTTCAATTCATGCTACACACAGGAAAGGATAATATCTGTGCATGCACTGGTAAAAAAAAAAAAAAGATGCAAGACTACTCTCAGCTGGAACCCTAGGCCCAAAAAGAGCTTTATTTTATTCATAACAGATAGGAACTTATGGAGTAAAGAGTCAAATTTATGAAAGTCCTAGTGAAAAAATGCTGACAAGCACTGAAACCACTGCAAATTCCTCAGTGAAATTTTAGAACTCTAGAACTAAATTCTCAAACATTACTTTCATCTTTTTCTGTCAATATTCATGACAGATGTACTCTCTCTTACTTAACATTCTTCCCTTGGTATCAGACAATGTTCACACATAACAGTGATTCCAATGAAAACATATTAAACCAGCAGGACAGGGTCAAGTCAAACTCCCCCCAGTGTCATACCACTACCTTGTTAGGCTGCTCCCTTGGCTGCCTTTCTTATTTTAAAAAGAATGGAGAGTTTAACTCACAAATGTGGAGCCTTGTAAATATTAGGCTGCTGTTCAATCCCTTTGGAAGTGGATTTATTCCAACTGTAGGGTTCAAAAACAGTAGTAATATTGTTCTTGGAACTAAGAGAACCAGTGATGAATTTCTTGCTACTGTTACAAGTAATAAGAGCTCAGCCCAGCTTTCTGTGACCTCTGAAGGATAAAGGAAACTGGTTATTTCCTCTTCTTGTGATTATACCACATTGTGAGACTTCTAGCCTTTTAATAAATGTGCTGATACTCTGAGCTTCCCTTTCAATGCATTTAATTTCAGTCATTGAGCAAAAAGAGATAATAAACAAATAATGAGTTACATTCTAATACATTTTTAAATCCTCACTCCAGATTTTAAAAACATCTTGTGTCTCTCTCACCCTGACCAGCCTGCTCCTCTTCCTGAGCCAACCCATAAGTATCAAAATCAAGAGGCTAAGCGGGCAAGGTTTCCATGGAGTCCATAGACAGGAGGGCGATGAGCCCTGATGGTTCACTATGGACAAAATGTTCCCTGTGGGATTGGAGTTTTCAGGACACAGAAGGCAGCCACAGTGACTGAGACCAGAATCAGTGTTGTTACAGAAGACAGAAAATGTAGCTTCATAATGAGCAACTTCCTTCTTCATCTACAGATTCTACCCTCTTTCTTCTTCTGAGACATATTTTTTTCATTGACTTCAGAAAGCGTTTGAGTCACTTCTTGGGAAACAGCATCCTCTCTCTTCTGTGCTACTTTGTACTTGAGAACAAAGTTTTTGTTCACAAAGACTACTAAGCAAGTCCTTACCAGGGTTGTCCCACCACAGAGCAGCAGACTGAGGAAGATCTACATGCCATGTACCCCAAAATGACCAGATGGGGAAGACAGACAGCATGAATGAGTCTCAAAGAAGAGTGCAGAAGACTCTAGAGGTTGTGGCTAAAATCCTGCAGTTCAGGTTCTCCAGGACTGCAGCTTAGAGCTGCCTCTGTAGTTATGGTGGAGCAGGAGCCCAGAGACAGGAAGGCCAGTGAGATTCACAGCCACCAGATGCCTCTAAACTTCTAATAGTCCCCAAAAACTATGTTGATCACTGGAAGCACTCATGTAATAAAGGTTTTTCATTATGTATAACTATTAAACCTAAGAGAAAATTTAATTTAATAAATAATCACATGTAGCTTCTTTGGAAGAAGAAACTCTCTTCATGGAACACAAATGATTTGATTTTCTGTAACTTCTTGTTATTTTCTAATCCAGAGCTTCTTCATGGCAGTTTTCATCTCTGCATTTCTGAGAGTATAGATGAGGGGGTTCAGCATTGGAGTGATTACAGTGTAAAACACAGCTAAGTACTTATCAGTGGGCAAGGTAGAGGGAGGTCTCACAAAGAGAACAATGCAAGGAACAAAGAAGAGGACCACCACAGTGATGTGGGAGCCACAGGTGGACAAGGCCTTGTGCCTGCCTTCCTGACTCAGTTTCTTCAGTGAGTGCAGAATGACCCCATAGGAGATGAACAAGAGCATAAGGATGACCACACACATTGCCCCATCATTGGCCACCCCTGTGAGGCCAATGTTGTAAGTGTCAGTGCACGCAAGTTTTAATAAGGGGTACATGTCACAAATGAAGTGGTCAATGATGTTGGGGCCACAGAAGGGAAGATTATAAACAAACAGAATGTGCACTATAGCATGCATAAAACCCCCAACCCAGGACAACACCAACAATAGAACACACAGCCATGGGTTCATGATGGTCAGATAATGCAGGGGTTTGCAGATGGCCACATACCGGTCATAGGCCATGACAACCAAGAGTATTATCTCAGCACCACCAAAAAAATGTTCTGAAAATAGCTGAGTCATACATGCTTGGAAGGAAATGGTTTTCTTGACATGGAGTAGGTCTATCAGCAAATTTGGGGTAGCTGTGTTAGAATAAGCAACATCCATAAAGGATAAGTAGCCAAGAAAGAAGTACATTGGAGAATCCAAGGCTGGGCTGAGCATCACAGTCATGATAATAAGCAGGTTGCCTGCCATTGTCACCATGTAGATCAGCAGGAACACAGCAAATAATATTTTCTGACCTTGGAGGCTCTGAGTGAGTCCCAAGAGCACGAACTCAGTCACATTGTTCCTTTGTTCCATACGTCCTTCTGCGTGTCCTTTTATCACTGCTCAAAATAAAATTATTATCTGCAAAAAGCATTATTACTAGGAAATTTTGGGATGTTTATTCATTCCTTAAATAGGCATTATGAATATTCTGCTCCTAAACTGTCCTTTTCCTAAGGATTCAGATTTGATGAAGCAGGGAGTCTAACTTTAGGGATCCGACAGAATAATCATGACAGAAAGAAAAGAATCAGGATCCTGTGAGCAAAGGACAGTCTGTGAAAGAAATATGAGTCTCCCACAACTAGCTTGTGTCTGGAAGCTAATGGAAGTGCACACAGTGCTAATGTCATAAAGAAAAAAAAGATGGATTAAATATTTAATGTAACACAACAGCAAGACTTCTTTATGTTTTAACTTCTCATTAACAAAGTAAATGTGATTTTCTACATTCTTGGCATAGAAGAATCTTCTCAGCTAATAGAAATATCAGGATGACACATTGGACAATTTTAAAATATTTTAAGAATGTACAAAAGGGTACAATAAATGAATACACCAAAGCAGTTTAGAAAGGAGGAGAGGAGAAGAGAGGAGAGAGCAGGAAAAGGGAGGAGAGCACGGCAGTGATAGATGATGAAAGACAGCAACAGGAAGACTGCACACAGAGAAAGAAAACTGCTGTAAGCAGAATCATCTTCACTAATACAATATTTTCTCAAGTAATCATAGTAATGACTGCTGCTATCTAAATCTCTACTGACATTTACTTCAATCTGATTTATCATTTTTGCCCTGCTCCCTCTTCACAGACATGGAACATCTTTCTTTTGAACTATGACCCCTGTCTCTGCTCATGCTGTTTATTTCATCATGTTTTTCACTCCTAACACTGCTCTTCCAATCTTCCCCTCCATTTCCTACATCCCTATTTTCCTTCCTATATTGCAGCCTTCTGTTAGCGTATTCACACAATCTGTCTTCATATTTAATATTCTATTATTGACCCGAATTCCCTTTGAAGAAAGCATCAAATGCAACTCTCTGATCATGTTATACAAACCCTGTCACATAAGTCCAAAGTCAGTGTGAGTTCTCCATTTAATTGACACAGCATTCTTTTGAATTAACCCAGGAGCTGGCTGATTCAAGTACATATTACATTACATTCTCCAGAGTCACTCTTTAACTTCTACAGATGCCAAATCATACTTTAATTTTTAACATTCCAAACAAAGTTCAGAAGACAGGTCCTCTGACCCTATAAAGCAATTGACAAGGACCTGCTCACCAAAAGTCTCCCAAATGGTTACACTTGCAATTAGTTTGTAAGAACACTGGTTATTACAGGAAGAAAATGTATTCTACATTTTTATAATTTTGAAATATGCAAGAGGCATGTTCAATATTGGAATCAATATACACAGATCTTAGCAATAACAAAGGACCACAGTACGTAATTACCAAAATCATTTAGAACTTAATAAAGACTGAGTACCTATGTCATCAATGTACATAGTGAAAAGCCTCCCTTAGAGATATACATGTACATGACCTTCCTGAGTTACCTGCAGAAGGACAGAGGCATTTTTTCCCAGTTCTGTATTCTGCTGCTTCTCTTTGACCCTAACTGATAACACCTTCATGCAGCAAATTTTTGAAAAATTTTAAGCTAATATAAATAATGTCTTGTAACATTAAGAAATCTGACTGTATTATACAGAGACCTAGATCTTTATTTTTGGCAAAATATGTCTTTAAAACAAACAATTGTTACATAAGCATTTTGAGATTTAAAAAGGTAAGTAAGTTTTATGGAAAAAAGAATCATGAATACCTGAGATATATATCTGGAATTTTTATTAAAAACAAAACAATAATTAAGCCTTCATAATATTTGGATTTCCAGTCAGGTACAGTGGCCTGACTTCATATACCATGGTTGAAATTAGCACTAACTAAAGAATCAATAAAAATTGAATCCCTATCCTATCATGCCTTAAATATATTATGTTTATTTCAAAAAATACAGTTATATGACTACCAGTATATACAAACATTCCCCGAGGTAAGGAGCAAAACTTAGAATGCTTTATCTGTATTTGAATCACAATTCATATTATTGAATCATTCAGTTCCTGTGTCTCAATGGGAGAAGTTACTTTAATTAAGCCCAATGAGACCATAAGCAGCATTCTGAGATAGGCAATGCACTGAGATGTCAGAAGAATAAAAACTATCTAGAACATCATTTCCACAGACAGGCCCTCTGGGGGAATTATAATAATTGAATAACTTGAGGTCACAACACCAACAAGGAAAAATCCAGTCTGGGCAGAACTGAAATATATAAAACTCTCTTATTAAAATCCTTTCTTGAGCCAGGCATGTAGCTCAGTGGGGCCGTACCTGCCTGGCAAGTGCAAGGTCCTGAGTTCCATCCCCAGTACAGGAAAAATAAGTTCTTTATTGGTTTAAAGAAGGAAATCATTGGGTATGAATATAAATAAAATATGCAACTGTTATCATTGCCCATTTCACATCTCTGAATTTCCCCCAATTATTTACTAATATCACAACTTATGTGAATTTGAAACATAATAACTGTCCATTTCTACTGGAATATATTCTACAAATAAAAACAACTTCAAAGAAATGTTCAATTGATTTCAGAAGAAGTCATATTTTAGTAGTATTGTTGGTACTGTTTTCTGTTTTTTTAAATTTTTTCAGCACTATTGAGGTATAATTGTCAAAAAGAAACACATGTGCTTAAGGCATAGAACTTGATGTATACAATATCAAATGATCAAAAAAATTAGGCTTATTAATGTTTTCATCCCTCAGGAAAATCAACATTTTTCTTCTTTGGTTTATTTCTGTGGTTAAAATATTTAATCTTCTTAGCATATTGCAAGTATACAGTATGGTTGTTTTAGCAAGTATCAGGCATACAATATAGTCATCTTTACTGTAGCTTCCATGCTGTACACTAGAATGCAGAAATCTTCTGTCTTCTGTATCTAAACTTTTCAGCTGTACCAATCACTACAAAGGATGAAGTCTACTTTAAAGTCTTCAATTTCTTTCATTCTCTAGGCTCTCTTACACCTTATTCTGCTCTTTACTTCAATGAGTTTGACTATTCCATATTCTACATGTGACTTAATGAACTGTCTTTTTGGGTCTGACTTCTATGACTTATCATAATATCCTCCATGTTTACCTATGTTGTAATAAAGGACAGCTTATCTTTCTTATTTACTGGAGCTGGAAGATTTAAAAAAGTGCCAGCTTGGCCAGAAACCAAACATTTACAAGATAGAGATCCCTGAAGTGCCCGCCCTGCTTTTAAAAGACATTTGGGGTGATTAGGCAATGTGGAGCATAAAAGGTGATGCAGAAGGCTGTGACAGTACAGCTGGAAGTACAATGGAGATCTCAGAGAGCTGGGCATGCCAGGAATGTGGAATATTCTGGAAAAAATCTGCAGGCTATGTGTAGAGCCTGCCTAAGAGAGATCCCTTGTGGGTGGCAACCAGCAAGGACACAAGAGCAGAGCAGCCCAAGCCCTATGAAGATCACCTCTTACCATCATGTGCCCCAGAGGCTATATTTGGAGGTGCAGAACTTAATATTTGTCCTGCTGGATTCTTTTCCTGCTTTGGTTTTTTTCCTTTCATTTTGCTTATTCCTACTTTTGTGTATGGGAATGGTGGCTCTGGGACATTGTTACATTATACTTTGGAAGTATTTAAACTTCTTTTGAATTTTTACAAGGGTCCATATCTAACAATTTCCCTTGAGTCTCAGAAGAGATTTGAACTTGGATTTTTGCCAGTGCTGAAACTCTTAAGATTTGCAACTCTTAGAGATGAACTAAATACACTTAAGGAGATAAACATAAACATTTTGGGGATTGGAACAAAGTGTTTAAAGCCACAATGTCCTACCCCAAATTTCATGTGCTCAGAGGTAGGGCCTGGTCAGAGGGAGTGGCTTACTGGGTGTAACTTGGATGAGTGTGTTATTGTTCTTTACCCCTTCCTTCCCTCATGCTGCTTTTTGCCAGCCATGGGTTGAGAAACCTACTTTAGCCATTCCCTTTCATCATACATTTACTGCCTGAAATCAGTTAACCATGAAACTAATGCCCAAAATTCACAAGTTCATTAAACTTCTATATTTGACATTGTGAATGTTAGTGATTTTGTCCAAGTGACAGCATAGCTGACTAACAGAACATGATACAATAAGGATGTATACTGACTGGAGGTATACTCCAGCTTTGGCAGCATTTTAGTTCTTAGAAATTCACTTGTTGGGCGGGGATTTAGCTCAGTGGTACTGCTGCCTGCCTTGCAAGCACAAGGTCCTGAGTTCAATCCCCAGTACAGGGGAAAAAAAAGAAATTCACTTGTTAATTCTAACAGGAAACCAGTCTTTCTCTATAGCTTTTTTGTATTATTGCTGTTTCAATAGATTCATTTGTTACAGTTTGCGAAACAAGTTCTAATGAAGTAATCTCCCCAGACAGCTTTCATCCTATGAACAATCCCTAAAGTATAAAGACCTGGGTCTTACAAGGCAAATTTTTATGTTTCTCTGATTTTGTTTGAGCCAATGCTTATTCAAGAGAATGTAATTTAATCTCCATGTGTTTGTATAACTTTCCAATTTCTTTTGCTATTGGTTCCTAATTTCATTCCTCTATATCCAATATTATGCAGGCAGTTAATTTATTTTTTTTGTATTTCTTTCAGCATGGCTTATGGCCTAATATATAGTCTATTTGGGGGGTATATCTCATTATCATGTATCTCATGTTTCTGTGGTTTTTGTAATTAGAAACTGAGGTATTAATTATTATATTTTGTGAAACATATACAAACACCTTGCACAGATACCAAATGAAAAGAAAAGACAAAAGAGATAAATAGATATACAAGAGCACAAAGCTTCAGGTGAAACATGGAGTGGTTTGTGGTTCCCTCTTCAGGCACAGCTCTGTTATACTTCAGCTGTGTCAGGGG